ATATAGACATATATACATGCATCTGTACATGACCACCCACTTAATTTAGTACTTTACCCATTCAGTGTATGTTCCTTCATACTATTTGTATTTGTTTATAATCTGCAGAACACTTGACTCATATATAGACAGTGTATGTTGCTGTTCATTGTTTCTTTTGTGTCTATTAATACACTTATTTTCCATCTACTTGTACATACATAAAAGTTCAGCTTTGTTGTACTTGTTTTTAGCTCTGCTTCTGTCTTTCTGTAAAGCAGCTTAGAGCTGAAATCAAATTCCTTGGATGTGTGCACATGCTTGGCCAATAAAGCTGATATCTTTATGTTAGAGGCTCTCTGTTTAATTTGTGCGTTTTCATTCTAGCCACCAAACCTTCATTGATCACCATCACTCTGTTGTACATGTGTTTTCACTCCCAGGGGTACAGGAGGACCCCCTTCTTCACTCTCACCCAATGCCAAACACAGCATAAGCATTCCCCAACGTATCCACCAGATGGCAGCAAATCACCTGAACATTACAAACTGTGTGCTGTACAGCTACGAGTACTGGGAGGTGGCAGACAACCTGGCAAAGGAGAATAAAGGTATGGACGCTCCTCTTTAGCCGCCCATTACGTGAAAATAAGCCACATGTGTCAAATGAACCTGTTTCAACACCCAGTAAGAACAGAGGCTTTAAGCTCACTGTCTTCCTTTTTCATAACAGAGTTCTTCAACTACTTGAATACTTTGTCTGGGCCCTTGACTCTCCACAGCAGCATAGCTCACGCAGTCCAGTACACAAGACAGGCTCTTCAGTGGATACGCATTAGTGCCAAACTTAACTAATGAGGAGAGGAGTTGCTTTTAATCCACCCACTGGATCTTAGAAGAGACAAAACTCTGGACCTCTCTGCGGTTGACAGGACGGCACTGACGCCTACTGAGCTGTGTGAAATGGAGTTGGATGAAATCCCATGGAGCCTGGTCATCCTTATTGGATACTAAGGGTGCTCGCCACCCGGGTCGGCCTGTGTGTGCAAAGCCTTCTGAAAGAGCAATCTCTTAACTTCTCGCAGATAAACTACATGCACCTTCTTCCTCATCATTGGATTAACCTGAAGAGTTGTTGTGTGCTGTCGATTTGAAGTCTGTAATAATTTGCCAAATGTCCCATGGTGACAGAAACTGAACTCTCATACTGTTGTGTGTGCAATTTCATGTGTGAATCATTATCATGTGGACTGTTTCTCTGGGGCCAAAACAGGAAAAAGATGTTTAAAAAACCCAAACCAATCAAATACCACTTTCTCCAAAAAGCTTGTCTGCCTTGTTTTCTAATGAATGTTTTAATGACTCTTTTTAAATCTCTTATATTTTCACTTTTATGTGTTTTTACTGTGCAATATTTGATGGATTATCTGTTTTTTAGAAAAAAAAAAGAAAACATACGAGAGGTCGATTTGCCAACAACTGTTTTATGCAAACTGTATTTCATGTCCCTGTTTTGAGTGTGGGGTAATGTAAATGAATGAATAATGAAGTTGAAGAGGTCACTCTGACTTCCTCTTGGTACATTTACTGTGTTGGCTGTGGTTCAAGAGTATGTATTTTACATTTCCACCTTACACCATGAGTAACACAGGTAACATATTATCACTGTCAAGGGGTTAACCTTTTATCTTTAATTTTGGTAATTTGTTTTGTTATAACTCCAACAGAAGGATTACAAGGTCATCTATTCACATCATTAGCCTATGAAACCCTGTCAAAATCATCTGGATGATGTTAACCAAACCAAAAGAAAAATGTGTTTTGTTTTACCCCTTGAAAGGGTTAGCCTGACAATCAAAGTGAATTACGTTATTTTTTTTAAATAATTTGAATTGCTCAAGAAATAAAACGTGGGCAGTGAGTCAATGTCATTAAAATGTGCCATTTTGCAGAAACGGTCATACACAAACAGCAACAGAAACACTCTGATATTGTGACTTATGCATAATTATCATAAATTTATAAACAAGGATGCCGCAAATGCACAAAATTATCCCATGTCCTCCGGTGCCTGCAGAACAATACTCACCATCGGTGTTTGTGAGAAGCTTCTGAGCATCTCACTCCTTCACTTATTGTCTCACAGCATCTTTTTTTATTTCATTATATTGATCATAACTTTGTTGGCAGGGTGTTTTTGACAGGTTAATGTCCTGATGCATTTGTCTTCGGAGAAGAAGAGGATCCTGTAGATTTTGTCTCTCTTGCTATCACTGACACAAACACACACTGTAGGCGTCAGTGACTGTGTGTGAGTCAGGCACATTAATTAGTCCAGTTGTTCAGAGTGGTCCCTCTCTCTGCACGCTCACACATCACTCTCCAACATCACAACTACTTCCTGCTGCACCAACACAGACATGAAACTTCAACATCTGATGTCTAGTACCATAGCAACAGAGAGCAACCAATAAGGGGGCTCCTCGGACAAGCTTTGGGTCAATAGCATCCTGGTTTCTTTGATTCTGTGAAATGGGGTCTGACATTTGTTTCCCCCTTTCCCTGAACAAAGACCTACTTTATTACACTCTCCTTAACTTGAAGGTAACTGTTATATATATTTAAGTAGGACAATAGATTTAGGGTCAAGCTGGCTAAGTGCTTCTTTAGAATAGGCCTATTTACCTTATGCTGCCTTAATTGATAAAAACAAATTTCACATGTTTTAGTCAAAACCAAGAGATAAATGTAGATATTTTGCTCTTAGGTTTAACCCTTTATGTATTTTTTATCCGCCTGACCTTATTTCACTCCAGGATAATTCAGTCAGTGAGCTGGAAATGCATTACTATTCTGACTGTACCGGGTTATTATTGTCTCCATGTGAGGATGTAGGAGCGGGCCACCATGTTCACAGCCTGCTGTTACGCTGCTGGCTCGTTCAATCCGCACGTGTCTCTGCGTCACGGCCGTTAGTGGCTGTGTGTGTGCCGGGCCGTCTGAGGACAACCGTTCCCGGAGCCAGACAGTACACACACACCGAGAAGATAAAAAAATAAAAAAATAAAAAACCTAGACTGCTAGAAAGCAGGCGGCGTGGACGCTTTAGCTCTGTGCGTACAAACCCTCCTGATTCAAGTCACACAACGTTAGACCATTTTAAAGATGAACAGTCCGTTAGAGTTTGTTAACCAACGGCTAACCTTAAGTTACCAACGGCTAACGTTTACACCAACCTGTCCTGAGTAAAAAGGGGGTGAAAGCGTCACATTTGGGAAATTTAAAATTGCACAGAGCTTTCAAGAGCGATTTTTACGGTCAATTCAGGTGACATGCACTCGGTCGCCCGCAAAGTGGCAGCATTACAACCAGTCTACGGTTACAGCACAACTTGAGGATAAAAACAAGAAGCCGGGGATGAGCCACGGCTCAAGCTAGCTAAGAAAGGCTACGAGAAACCCGGAAGTGGTACGTATTTTGTTTTTGAAAATAAAATACCGTTTTTGCTCAGACCAAAGTGGTGTTAGGATACAAATATATTTACACAATCCTATTTATATTTTGTTATTAATGTTTTCTAATTGCCAACTTATTATTATAATTGTTTACATTTAGCTGACGCTTTTATCCAAAGCAACTTACAATTGCTATACATGTCAGAGGTCGCACACCTCTGGAGCAACTGTGTGTGTGTATGTATGTATGTATATATATGTGTGTGTGTGTGTCGGGATCCACAAAGGTGGATGGGTCACAATGGGGGATTTAACCCGGGTCTCTCACACCAAAGGCAGGCGTCTTATCCATTGCGCCATCACACATGACAACAAGACAAAAACATATTTTAATAGGCCTACTATTTAGAAAGAAAAATGTATTGATGAAATAGTTGATAGGGGGCTCCCCCACAAGATTTTGAGCATTAAACACTTAATTTCCTGCATTCTGGGGATTTTCTTGTCTTCTATATTTACATTGCATTGCAGACTTATTGTGCAAATAAACCTTTTTCATAGCATTTTTATTTGTTAATTAACATTTCTTGGTGCAAGCTATTTTTCAGAACATTTTTAACAAATGCTTTCATTTGGACAGGTTTGTGCAGCGGTGTTCACGAGAGAGGGAGAGAAAGACGGAGCGAGCCAGGAGGTGCTGCACAATATATGCTCCTCAATACAGCTCCTTAATCAAAAATTATTTTAAATACGCCTTGTAAAAAATTGGAAAATCAATATGTAGCGGTCTGCATTGATAATTATCCAAATTATAGGCTAATTATGGGAAACACTGCTTTCCCTCACCCCCAAACAAATCAGTCTCTCCCGACTTTTTAACTAACGTCATATCCATAACAACAGCAAGGAGTGTGGATTTTACAAAGCATATAGCCTAGGCCTGTTTCTTAACGCTACCGTAAGTAAATCCCGACTTTTAAACAGCGGTTTTACTGCACATGTAGCCTATTTATAAGAGCAGTATTCAGTAGTTATGCAAGAAACAGAGAGCAGAGGGGGTGGGGGCTAGTAAGAGACCGGACCAGTGTCAGTATATAAAATTACCCAATGGGCCGCTGTCCGTGCTTTATGGGCCGCTCGTTGGCCCATTATTTAAAGACAGTTATATATACATAATTTATGTTACACCAGCCCCAAAGGTAAATCGGCACTTGCCCGGTGGGCCAGATTACCAATCCAGCCCTGAGACTCAGTTTCTACTTTCCAATAACTACATCTTGTTCTCGCAACAGCAGTATTTATAGCCCTCATTACAGAGGTAACCCTCTTTTTAACTTTATTTGTTATCCAAGCTGTGTGCTGACTGGCTAGAGGAAAGATAGCTAGTACCAGTAGCTTATATGTATACATTTATTATGGTTTACTGCCTGCAGGACAATCCCTATATATGTTTTCCTTCATAACGTAACATTTCCCCAAGGCCTTTTGTGACAGTCTATTCAACACAACTCTACAAAATGATCACCAAGAAGGTTTTATTTTGAAAATCTCCGGAACTGCCAGCCTTGCGCGCTTGACTGTCGCTGGGAGAAGGGAAAGCAGAGGGAATGGATCAGGCGGTAGAAATGGAGAGCAAAAAGACTGGGAGGGTGAGCGAAAATGTTGAAGAGACATGGCGCGGCGGCATGACAAAATAAGGTGATCTCAGTTCACCAAAAGGAGTTCTCTGGAGAATAAAGTCAAGGGTGAGGAGTCGAGCTAACTGTGTGGAGCATTTTCTTTTTGCTCTGCTCTTACCTCGTAATCAGTGCGCACACACACCGTTTGTGTTGGGCAGTATCTGCAGAGAGAAGTCTGTGGCGAACAACCCACTCTTGACAGGATAAAAGGTAAAAAGCAAGTGAGTCCTGTTAGCGCACAATCACTCAGGACTGCTGTTTGTTTACATCCGTGATTAACACTGAAGTTTCCACAGTCATATATCGTATCCGTTGTTTGGTAACGTTAGCTCATTTTTGCCAGCATTGTTAGCGAGTGCGGGCAACACACTAAACTAAACATGTACTCGTATTTATGCTTGCCTGAAGTGACATGGTGTTACAGTCGTGTCGTATCGCAGCGACATGCATGATTAACTAGCGAAGAATCGTTCAGAGTGGCTATGCTAATGTTAGCTGCCTACATGAAAAATGTGACAAAGTGCCACATGGGGATCTGTTGCAGCCTACCTGTCAGTAGCAGAGGACCTGCCCGGACATGCCCTTGGACACAACGCTGTTCCCCTGAGCCTAAAACCAATATCCTAACATTTATGTTGAACTACCATCAAACCGCAATAATAAATGCAAAACACAATTGCCATACATGTTAGTTGTTGACAGTATCACTGCTTGTCTGTGTCCTTTGGCCTGCGCCTGAGAAAGCTTTCTAAACTAGCAACAAAGCATCACTCATGAATTGCTGACTTGTGTTATATAAAGTGTTATAATCTTATTTACCTTATTGAAATATTTTTTTAATCTGATTTGTGATGTCATCTAGCATCATTTCAAGATGTATGAGGAGCTATTTGTATACATCATAAAGACATTCTTCCATTTTTTAAATAGAGATTTACATAAACTTTGTGCCCCAGCTTAGACTTGCTAGACTAAGTATTGATCCTCTTGTGTTTTCAGGTAACTCAGTATGAGTCGAAATGGGTGGACAAAGAAGAGAGCCAATGCCAGTGATGACAATGGTTGGGCTGAAAGTGTGAGTATCCGCCATCCCATCATAATCAACAATGTGCAAAATACAGAAGTGACTTCAGTATGACAACATGCCCATAATGTCAGATAGGCGTACCTTAACACAGGCTGGCCACAATAAAAGGCCGCTCGAAAATGTGCAGTTCCATAACACAGCACAATGCCACAGATGTCACAAGTTTTGAGTGAGCGTGCAATTGGCATGCTGACTGCAGGAATGTCCACCAGAGCTGTTGCCCATGAATTGAATGTTCATTTCTCTACCATAAGCCGTCTCCAAAGGCGTTTCAGAGAATTTGGCAGTACGTCCAACCGGCCTCACAACCGCAGACCACGTGTAACCACACCAGTCCAGGACCTCCACATCCAGCATCTTCACCTCCCATCTTCACCACCTCTGTGAGACCAGCCACCAGCTGAGACAGCTGCTGCAACAATCAGTTTGCATAACCAAAGAATTTATGCACAAACTGTCAGGAACGTCTCAGGGAAGCTCATCTGCATGCTCGTCTTCCTCATCAGGGTCTCGACCTGGCTGTAACTTCGCACAGCCATTGAAGAGGAGTGGACCAACATTCCTCAGGCCACAATCAACAACCTGGTCAACTCTATGTGAAGGATATGTGTTGCACTGTGTGAGGCAAATGGTGGTCACACCAGATACTGACTGGTTTCCGGACCCCCCCCAATACAGTGACACTGCACATTTTCGAGTGGCCTTTTATTGTGGCCAGCCTAAGACACACCTGTGCAATACCCATGCTGTCTGATCAGTATCTTGATATGCCACATCTGTGAGGTGGATAGATTATCTCAGCAAAGGAGAAGTGCTCACTAACACAGATTTTGACAGATTTGTGAAAAATATTTGAAAGAAATATGCCTTTTGTGTACATAGAAAGTGTGTAGAAAGATCTAATCTTTGCGTTCAGCTCCTGATGAAAAGAGGTAAATTCAATAGTGTTGCGTTTGTAAGTTTGTTTGTTCAGTATAGATACTTCTTCCTGTCATAAGAGAAGGCACTGTAATAAACCTGCTCGAATATCAAGATCGTGTGTGTGTGTGTGTACATGTATATATGTGTGTGTGTGTGTGTGTGTGTGTATGTATGTATGTATGTATGTGTGTATATATATATATATATATGCGCATCATGGATTTATTGTGGCCAACTGTGACTCACCTTGTTCTGTCACTGCTCTCCTTCTTGTTTGCAGGGTGGCTACATGGCTGCCAAAGTGTCAAAGCTGGACAAGCAGTTTAAACTTGATGCCCCCAGAGAGAAACAGAAAGAAGGCAACAGCTCCAACATTTTTAGTGGAGTGTCCATCTATGTCAATGGATACACAGGTAATGCTATGCTACAGTACATCCATATTTTTACACATCACTAGTTTGTCTCTCTTCTACCCCCCACACTTACTTCAGTCAGTCTTTAACAGTTTGAATAACAGGCTGCTTATTTAAATCTTATCCAAGAATGTCCCACATGAGAATCAGGAGAAAAACAAGATAAAAAGATAAAACTCTAGCTATACACAGCCTTATTGTAATGCTCAAAGTGGTTTGTGATGCTTTGAAAAATATGACCATGTTGATGTTCATTGTCATGGACTAACAGATCACATGTTAATTTGGGTAATACAATGAAATTCAAATGCTCTAAAGATCAAAGAACCTGGCTCTGTTTTTTTACTCGTGTATATGTTTCCTGTGTTTGCGACGCTTTACACAATGTTTTGTACAGATCTATAAGTAAGTCAGTCTAAAGAGTTTTGACTGCATTGTGCTGATCAATTGACTGGCCAGGTGGCCTAATTTGTAAGGGAGTTGGCATATTTTTGTGTCTTTTCTGTTAACTGTTTTATTTTTTGCCTGTTTGAGCAGATCCAAGTGCCGATGAGCTACGCAGACTGATGATGCTTCATGGTGGCCAGTTCCACGTCTACTACTCTCGCTCCAAGACCACCCACATCATCGCCAGTAACTTGCCCAATAGCAAAATTCAGGAGCTCAAAGGGGAAAAGGTCATCAGGCCAGAGTGGATCACTGAGAGGTGTGTTCAGCAGGAGTTGAGCATGTTTTGCTCATTTAATTTAATATTGTAATTTAATTGTAATATGTATTACCTGAAAATCCCTCTGTTTACTTTGTCATTTGTTTAAAACAGTATCAAGGCTGGGCGTCTGCTTCCTTACCTACAGTACCAGCTGTATGTTAAACATAAAGCTCTACTCTTCCCTGGCATGACTGTACGCCAGACATCAGAGATCGCAGGACCCAGCCATGGGCTGCTTCAGCCGAGCGTACATCAACAGATCAGTCTGCCACAGCGCAGCATTCAGCACTCTGTCCTCAACCATGAACAGTCCAGCTGCCAGAATAACTCCGTCCCTAACCCCAGCCACAGTCAGCTTTACCAAGGCAACATCCAACATCAGTCCGCCCAGCACAGCTCTGTAGCTCTGTGCTACCCACAACCAAGTCACTTAGCATCCAATCACCTCAATACAGATCCTAGGCACAGAATCCCTTTACCCACCTACCCACTGTCTAAGCCCAGCCCCACAAAGCACCCACACAAGCCGCCAAAGTCTACTGTTCAAACACCTCATCCTCATCTCCAGCACCAGAGAGCTGGCCAACCACAACCTCAGATCAACTCCTCTTGCAGCAGTGCCTGGACTGGCTGCAAGGAAGTGGAATTAAAAATGTGAGTATGCATAGCTCATAAGGGAAAATGGTTTGGTTTATGGGAGGGGGTTGGTTTTGCACACACAACTGGAACATCTTCTTTCATTAATACCTATTAAATCTCTTCTTCATATCACAGAAACAGATTATTGCAGACCTCATTGGATATGACGAGCCATTCAAAAATGAATGAAATGCAAGTTTGTGGCAAAGAAGATCCTTTCCTGCAGGTATTGAAGGAAGTACCCCTGACAAATGGACACACTCATCTTGTGAATGGTGCCTTAACGCCAGAGGGCCTGTCCCCTGTTACACATGAACTCTCTGTTGACAAGGAATGGAGAGTCAAGAGTTCAGAGGATAAACCTCAGAGTCCTCCAGTGCAGTTTCAGACCAAACCTGACCCGTATGAATTTCCCCACAGTCCCCCAAAGCAATCTGACCACACTCCTGTCTTTCTGGAGCAATCCAACTCACAAGCAGCAAGCCAGCCGAGACATAAACCTCCACCCCCCTCCTACCAGGAGGCTATAAAAACAACAGAAAGCCACATACTCCCAAAACGGCTCCAGCCACCATGTCAGGTTGATTCAAATCCTGAAAAGACTCTTCTTTCACCTGCATCTCACTCTCTTTCACATTCTCCAGTTCGGCTGAACGGAAGTCACCACCATGCCTTTTCATCTGACCCTACCTTTGTAAACACAACCAACACAGCAGCCAAACTTGATCCTCCCACTGAAAAGTCATCAGCGCAGCTGCTGGCGCAGACAGGCGGTTTGATCTCTGAGTACTACTCTCACTCACGTTTACACCAGATTTCCACATGGAGGTCCGGCTTTTCTGAGTATGTCAACGAACTGCACAGCAAACGAAAATCAGCGGGGGGATTCTCCTTTCCTGGGAAAGACAGACTGAGGAAGTCTGTGGTCCAGCGTGTTGCAGACAGTCGAGGTAGGAAAGGAAGGTCCAATTTGTTTCTTTTCCCTGTAAAATCAATGCTTTGATGTGTTATTTTTTAAATTTTGTTAAGATGGGGTGTTTTTTGGTGTCATGGTGGCTTAGTGGACTGTAACTTCCCCAGTTTAAATTCAGAAAGTCTACGAGATTGAACAAAATGTCTCTATCATCTCATATATTACAATATCTTTGTCCCTGCTAATTACGAGATAGCCACATTATTTGTGTTGTGTATTCTGGGGATGCATCATGGCGTCATTGGATGCCGTGTTCATGTCTTTTTGTGATTGGGAAAACTAAACTCTGATGATCGGGTATGTGTCTATGTGGTCAGGTACGCTGGCACCCGCAAGTGTTAAATCTTGTATTCTTCATGTGGACATGGACTGTTTCTTTGTGTCTGTGGGGATCCGACATCGACCAGAGCTCAAAGGTAAGGCACCTTTTTTTCTGTTTTTAAGTTTATATGGAACATAGAAAAGTCTCATGCAGTCCAGTCATGGTTGTCTTGCAGGGAAGCCTGTAGCTGTGACCAGTAACCGTGGACAGAACAGAGTGCCTCTGAGGCCCGGGGCCAACCCTCAGATAGAGCAGCAGTACTACCAGAGGAAACAAACTCATCCTCAAACTGGTGAGATTGTCATACCCAGCCTGCTTGTCATGGAGTGGTCTGACCTTGATTCACAGGCTTGGCTCAGTGTGTTTCCTGTATTTTCCTGTACATGGCTTACTTTATTGTAACATGCTTGACTAAGCCTACTCTTCTTCTGCCTCTCAGAGAGGGCAGATGAGGATCTCTACAGAACTCCTTCACAGGAGAGCCCTGACTCTCATGCCAACGGAGTGGACCAGGATGCTGCCACTCTCTCAATGGCAGAGATTGCATCATGCAGTTATGAGGCTAGGTAAGATATAAACACACACTCATGGTCATTTTAAACAAGTCCTATATCTGTATTTTGTACTAACCAGATTGTTAATAAATCTGTTGTCTCTCACAGGCAGATGGGTGTGAGGAATGGGATGTTTTTTGGCAAAGCAAAGCTGCTGTGTCCCTCGCTGCAGTCTGTCCCGTATGATTTTGAGGCCTATAAAGAGGTGGCTCTCGCAATGTATGAGACTCTGGCAGGGTAAGACGAACTCCCTGGTCCTTTTTTTGTCCTCACTTCCCTGTCCTTTACATGCTAAATGACCTAAAGTGTACCTTCTCATTTATTTCTTTGCAGTTATACCCATGACATTGAGGCTCTGAGCTGTGATGAAGTGTTGATCGACGGTTCTGCTGTGCTAGCTGAGTTGGGCATCAACCCAGAAGATCTGGCCAAAGCGATCAGAGCAGACATCAAAGAGAAAACTGGATGCTGTGCTTCAGTGGGCATGGGTGAGTTGATGTTTGTCTTATACTGTAAAATAGATCAAAACCGTGTTCCTATCTTACAAATTCAAACTGCTCATCTGTTCAGGGTCCAACATCCTGTTGGCTCGGCTGGCGACACGTAAGGCCAAGCCAGACGGGCAGTACTTCCTAAAGCCTGAAGAGGTAGATGATTTTATCAGGGACCTACCAGTCACCAGCTTACCAGGTAGATACAGCACCACCTGCTGGTCATGGCAGTCTACAGTCTTTCAGCTTTCTTGTGGTAAATATTTGAATACATTTTTATTTCTTTTTTCTAGGTGTTGGGCCTGTTATGGGCAGAAAGCTGGCTGCTATTGGTGTGAGGTCATGCGGGGACCTCCAACAGATGTCTCTGTCTCAGCTGCAAAAGAAGTTTGGACCCCGGACCGGACAAACCCTGTTTCGCTTCTGCAGGGGTCTAGATGACCGGCCTGTCCGCTACGAGAAGGAAAGGAAGTCTGTCTCAGCTGAGATGAACTATAACATTCGCTTTACTACGGTTAGACACTTTTTCCCCCCTGTGCCATCTCTTCTTTTTTATTTTCCCTTCATTTCCCACCTATCTCTCCGTAACCTTCTTGTTCCTCTGCCTCTGTGACTAGGTTGATGAGGCAGAGTGTTTCCTGACTAACTTGTCCATGGAGGTGCAAAAACGTTTACAAGAAGCAGGGCTGCGGGGTCGCAGAGTTACTCTTAAGGTCATGGTTCGCAAGGTTGGAGCTCCACTGGAACCAGCTAAATATGGTGGTCATGGCATATGTGACAACCACGCCAGGTAAGGAAAAGATCGTCATCCATGTATGTTTCGAGTGACCGATTTCTTTCCATTGCTTCACCATGTCTTTGTCTCTCTGTAGACTCATTTTAAGTCATCTCCTTCTCTGTTAGGACTGTGATGCTCGCTCAATCCACTGACAGTGGTCAGCTGATTGCCGCTGCAGTCATCAAGCTGTTTCATGCCATGAAACTGCAGGTTCAGGACCTGAGAGGAATCGGCATCCAGGTTCAGCTTCTTGAAGGAAATCACTCTGTCCCCCAGGACTCCATGGGCTCCCGGACGCGCTCCATCAAAGAGATGTTGCTAGACCAGAGGTTAAGTGCGAGATGCAGCAACAGAGGTTTGTGTAAAGTCTTTGTCTTTCATTTTGTATCTTTGTTATCATCTGTGTAATCAGTTGAGCTCAAGATCTATGTTGCAGATGCTGCTGACAACACGCGTCATGAAATGACTTCCTCAACCACAGCCGTATCATCTGGCTCCCCTCCACATCTTCTGTCTCCTCCCGAGCCAGTCCCGGGGACAAGCAGAGATCAGCAGGCATGCAGACAAACTCCAAAACATTCTCGAGCACGTCTCAACTTCAGTATTGAGGTCCCCTCCCCTTCACAGGTCAGGACTTCAAGGAAAATTCTGATTGATTTTAAACAAGAGCTGAATATAGGGGGGGGCGTTATGAACTAAAATTTTAATCCGTGTGACACGGTGACAGTATTATATCAAGGTATTACAAAAATAAAACTCAAAACATGATTGTACCCATTTTCACTCTCTTGGCAATGTAAGGGAACATATCTTACAAAAGGAAAAAAAATATTTTAAAAAAGGGATATGTTAATTAATTCTAAATAAGAATGATAATAAGGTAAATGCCTACATGTGTTTTGGAAGCCTGCCCCATAATGTAGGTAAATTAATAAATGTAATGCGATTCATTCTCAGAGTTAGATGAGGGATGGTATAAGGCAGAGGTCACTAATAGGCGGACCGCGGTCCAGATCCGGACCCAGCTGCTGTCCTCTCCGGACTGCCAACCTACAACCGATTTATTAATGAGACTTACTACCTCGTGACGGAGCGTTTCTATTTTAACCTGCGCAGCTTTTATAGCATTTACTGTACTGGTTTAGCAGTCCAGGAAACTCACAGACCAATCGCATGTGCTTCAATTGTCTAATGTGACGCTGCTCAGCCAATCAAATCTGTGCATTCCGATGCTTGCGAGTCGAGTCCGCCAGATTCACCAGAGACGTTTTGGAAACACACACGAATTGAGGAGACGAAAGGGAAAAGAGATTTCACATGGCTTTTAATCAAGAATGTACAGATTTTTACATGTACATTCCTCCCACGGGCAGTTCAGAACCAGATTATCTCATAGATCTCCAATCCTAGCTGGCAGGAGAAACTAGAGCTCACGTTTCTCACTGAACAAGAGAAAGTAGGAGTGGTAGCTCTGTAAGAGGGAATGAAAGAGAAGAGGAGGCATTACAGCTGTTCAGTTGTTAAGATGTGTTGAGTGTTTATTATAAAATTGGTTAAGACTACACTTCATCATTTCAAGCTACACTTTTTATTTTATTTTTTCTAAAAAATTTGGCACTTTAGTTTACTTAAATTTAGATTTTTTTATTAGACTAGTTATTTATTATCCCTCTAGTTTGATGTGAAAACTGACTGAAATATTATTTTGACAGTCCGTTGTTGATAAAAACATATGTTGATACAACTATATGTTATGGTACTGAATGAAAATGCAAGTTAGTCATTTTGATGTTCCGGACCTTTGCTTTGGGAAATTTTCTCTAACTGGACCTCTTTGAATTCTAATTGAATACCCCTGGTATAAGGGATCTTAACAGCATTTATTTGGCAGAAAACCCAAAGTATACTAAATTAGTATATTAATCAGCAGCACTTGTGGTCTTCCTCTCTCACCATATTCTGGAACCAGTTTGGGACATAACACTTTTGTGTAACAACAAAGCCACCAATGCATTGCAGTATGTAGTTCCACGTGACACCAGTGATAAAACCGGTATATAGCCCACCCCTTGCTGGGCAGTGAAATATTTTTAACTTGTGTTTCTTCATGATATCCAAGGTGGATCGTTCTGTGTTGGAGGCCTTGCCCGTAGAGTTGAGAGAACAAGTGGAGCAGTCGTGGACTTACATGGATGGGAGACCGAGTAACGGTCGGACACCCAGTCCACTTCCCTCTGCTCCTTTTCCACAGCATCCCTCTCTGAAGTCTCGTCCAACCTCCCCTCCTCGTCCTCCAGTCCCTGGTCCTGCTCTTTACACTCCACCTGTTGGCACGTTGGTCCTGCAGATTCCAAACCAGCCAGATGGTCTGGGAATTGTATTGGAACTGCCAAACTTCTCAGAGGTAGTGATGCAAAGCTACTTTGACAGCCCTGCTGGAAGAAACCTTGATAAGAAAAAGTGATGTTGTGCTCATTTAAGTAGTTTATAGCCTTTTGGTTCATCCACCTATGTAACTATATTCATCACAGTGGAATCTGTTTGGCGACTATTCACATCTATTCACAGACACAGACTGCAAACCGACCAGTTTGCTCCAGTCTGTTTGTTCTTTTTGAAGTTTGCGGTCTTCAAACTGAGAAGCACCTGATTCAGCTGTATATTGCTTGGAGATGCGCGGATAACACTGTTTTCGACATCTATTACTGTCCGTCCTGGCAGAGGGACTATCTGAATCAAGGGTCTAAGGACTGAGGGTGTCGCTGAACAGATTGTAAAGCCCCTTGAGGCAAAGTTGTGAAAATGGGCTATATAGATACTTGACTAGATATCCACATTTGCCCTGTTATGCTGTCTGGCAGTTCTACCACATTAATGCCTGTGAAGGCAATAAACAGCAAAGAACTGTAGTCAAACTACTGGTTTTAAAATGTTTTCAGTTTGAAAACTGCCTTTTAATAAGAATAATAGTAATGAGTCTGCGAAAAGCCCAAGTTGTCACAGACGATGATGTTCATACAGATATATTTTCAATGACTATTAAATTTACAGATATGTATAAGACACACCTTTTATTGGAAGAGCAAAAGCTTTTCTCCAAATGTGCATATTAGTCCCCAGTTGTCTCAACTTTCTGACTGCAGGTTGATCCGGACGTATTTGCTGCCCTTCCGAAAGAGCTCCAGGAAGAACTAAAGTCTGCCTACAACCGTGTAACAAATGTCCAGCCCCAGGCAAAATTGTGTGAGTACCCAGGTGAATTAGTTGCAAAGGAATGCGTTAAGCTTTTTTCCCCCTACTATTAACATCATGCATGTTGTCTTTATCTCGTGTTTTACCTCTTGGTTTCTCAGCAGTGGAACAGAAGAATCCCCTGTTACAGCTAAAACAGTCAGGAGTCGGAATTGGTATAGGTCGGGTGAAGCGGCGCTACAAGAGAAAGAATGCAGGGAGCCCTGTTAAAAAAGGTCCTTCCCCTGTGAAGAGGCGGCACACGACCAACAGCCCAGCCAAAATCCTACCATCTCCTATAAAACTGCGGGAACCAACGAACATAGTAAAGGTGAACCAATCAACTGTTTCATATGTGAAGATGAAGCTTTTTCTTTTATGGTGGCAGTATGTGAAGAAGGCTGGTACATAAGTAATTTTTCAAGCTCACACATGTTTTCCCTCCCCAGACTGAAAATGTTCCCTCCACATCGACCTCGAAAAACGACATCCCAGAGTCTCTGTCCAAGTGCATCCCTCGCCCTGCTCCAGCGTTAGCCGGAGCCTGTGACCTGACGGATATTAAAACACTCCTACGGGAATGGGTCACCACCATAACAGGTGAAGGCTAGCTCTGCCTTAGTGCAGACTCATGCAGTTGTGTGTTTTATTGTTTGTGTGGTTACAAAAACGCATTTTTAATAATGTCTTACTTTTTGTTAGAACCCATGGAGGAAGACATCCTGCAGGTGGTGAAATACTGCACTGATCTGATTGAGGATAAAGATCTGGAGAAGTTGGATTTGATTATAAAATACATGAAGAGGTAAGCATGTACAGTTTAGCCTCCTCTATAGAGGGTATGCGCATGATGTCACAGAACTCAGTTAGTTGAGTGACAGAAAGACAAGCAGCAGTATAGCTTGAATCAGCTAAAACACAAACACCACATCTAAAATGGGAAAGAGTTGGACCACTGGTTCTTTGGTAAGCAGTAAGGATCACTGTCGAGTCCGACTGCCTTTAATTTGAGCAAATATCACTTGTTTTACTCCCGGTTTGCTAAATGCAGCCATGGTAACAGATGTTTTACCACTCAGTCCAGCGTGTTCCGGAAGGAGAAGTGACATCAACGTGTACACTATTCCTGCCACTTTCTTTTTTGTTTTCATTTATTCCTTATGTCGCATATTGATCTTTCCTCTGCAGGCTCATGCAGCAGTCGGTGGAGTCAGTCTGGTGTATGGCTTTTGACTTCATCCTAGACAACGTGCAGGTGGTTGTGCAGCAGGCTTATGGTAGCACCCTGAAGATACCATGAAGAAGAAGGGTTTTCATTGTGTGTAACCATTACACCAACACTTTTTGTTTTGCTACTTTCACAGGGTCACCTGCAATACAAATTATGACACCTAAATGATGATTTCCCTCCTCAACTGTGATACCCTTCTAGCACCTGCCATAATATTCTCAATGGCCTCCTGAGAGTGAGACACAAATTAATAACTACACACACACACACACCTCAGAGTACATTATTTTCTGTACTTGCTCTTTAAGGGACAAGTAACACGAACTATAATGCAGGAAATGTATTTAGAATATACTCACCAAAACTCAACACAGTGATAATCGTAGCAGCTTTTTGCAAATTCCTCATTTTTCATGTGGAGTTCTTTTCTAAATAATGCGAAGACTCATTTTTAAACGTATTTGAAATTTTATATCAAGACTTTTGCAGGCAGTGTGTAACTATTTCTTATACATACGTCTAAGCCAGGCCTTATAAGATTTCAAATGTACCTCTACCTGGTGAGCGTTTTCCATCTGATAAAGCAGTTGACTTCCCTTATGTGTTCCTAAGGTTTCTGTCACACAGGCAGGTTTAAGTTTTATTCATTTATGCAGCTAAATCAGTAGGTTTAAAATAATGAATGTGGTAAACACAATCATCATGTTCAAACACAAAGCTTCCTTTTTGTGATTTTAGAATCAATCAGTTTTGTAGCACTCCTCAGATTTATGATAATCCCAGAAATGGTATAAAAATCTTGTTTTTCATCATTGTTTCGTTGGTGCTCCATGCCACTTTGACTGAGCTCTGAAGTATCTACGCAAACTAAATATAGTCTGCTGCATACAGTTGTCCCTTTTTTTTTCTTGTCTCTCGCAAAAAAGTGCCAAACTTTGCTATTATAGTGTGTAAATAATGTTTTTAAATACACCTGTTAAAAGTTTTAAAAGAAAAGGATGTATGTGGAGGGTTTACCTCTTGTATTGTTTACATGTAGTGAATTCTTAGTAATTGTCGTTAAATTGTAAATCTTCTCGCTTTTTAATTGTTTGTCAGTGTTCCAACATGAAAATCAGAAGCTGGCCAAAGCACTTCATATGAGGTTAACTGTTGATTCTCAGTAGCACTCTGACTTTGGAGGATGTTCACAGGGGTTATGGCAATCAATAAGTAGCCTATGCGTTTTGTTTTTCCACTTAACAAGTGAGACATCCCTTAATGATAATGCAACATTTCATACAGCATTTGTATCCGGAGTAAATTTTGTTTTTCTAGTGTTTCCAGCCTAGTTACCAGTTTTACAAATTTGAATATTGAAATAATGCTGGATTTGCATAGGAAGAGGTGACCTGATTTTTAACTCTGAAGCCCATTGTATGTACTTGTATACATACAATGGAGACATTTGTATGGCTTGTGGCTACGTCATTGTGTTTCTGTGAAGTAAACTTTTATGATTGGTGATTAGAAGTTCTCATCAGATGCGGCTGGCTGGCTTGCAGTCTCACATCATGCAAGACATTATGTGTGTGGTTGAAAAGTCTGTTTAAAACAGTATCCCTATATGCAAATCGAGCTGTCATTTTTTAAAAACTTGTTGAAATGAATGTAATTCAGAATGTGCAAGTGTCCGCTCACTTTCCAGATGTTGGCTTCGCTTCACCCGTCATATCTTTCCAGAAGGGAATGGCCAGAAATTCAAATTGGCCAGTCTTGTTTTCTCTAAACTGGCTTGTGCCTGAAGACCTGAAGCTGTGAACTTGTTTGTAAGTTTTCTAAAACTTGGTAATAAACTGTAAACTCTGTATTAATTTATTTGTCTTTGTCATTTCTTAAAGTTACAGCCTGAATAGTAGAAGGTAGTCCAATCATGATAATGTTGCATTCTGAAAACAATCTTTGAGGGAGAAAAGGGCATTTCTTTCCAAACTGTACAAACTGGAAATGGTTAAAGATGTCAAATCTTTACAGTTCAAGGCTGCCCATCTTTATTACTTTACCTACACTTTGCCACAGATACTCAAAACTTAATTCGATATCAACCTTCTTTTTTAATTGTTTTTGCAGTGATCTGGCAGACATGGAATATTGCCAATAAACATACTATGGCATCAAGAATACAGTACACCCAGCCACAGTCAGTTTTTTTTAATCCACATTCCTCCATGTAATATGCATACATGTAAAAGTTTACATTTTTATATTTCTTTGTATGCCAATTGTAAAATGCAAACAAACATGTAACATTAAACCTGCAGGGTTTACTTTTAAAAGAACTCAAAACATCTTTGTTCTTTTTGTTTTCAATGTGTGCCATCATTTAGTTTGAGATTTGAGCTCTGAATATCAAAAAAAGGAAAACGACCTAAAAGGATTATTTGCTTTTAAAAATAAAAAACGGAATAATTGTTTTATTTTCTGTTTGTTTGACGTCAAACATTTGTCTGACGTTACATCCGTAGCATCTATGCGCAGCAATCATTTGTATTTCGCGCACGAAGAGAAGTGTTTGTGATCATCTGTTACTCCATCAGGTAACCCAATAATTTAACGGCAGTGGTGTTATGGATTAGCATGTTTTAATTGGTGGTTACTATTAGCATCTCACTTGTTGATATATTATTATTCCTTGTCTGTGTTAACATTACTTTTAACGGCTAACGTTATGAGGCACGCAGGGCTAATGTTAGCTAGCCTAGCAGGCGAACACAAGCTCCAGCTAGCATTGTCTAGATTTTCCTTGATTACTTAGAAAAGTAAGTACATGGCTAACTGATCCATGTCTCGATTAACTGGCGTGGATTCATTATTTGCACAGAAGCGATAAGGGAAATGTCGAACAAACAGACAACCATGACCAAGTGTGCTAACGCAGCTAGGCTAACGCTAGCTGACAACCTGCGGAAACAAGGTGTGCCCAGTTGTTACCATGGCTTTGTCTCTAATGGTACTTAAAACACGCTGCTCAGTCTGACAGCTTTCGGGGCAACGTTTTAATCAGTGACTTGCCAGTAACGTCAGGCCCTTACGTACATACTTGGATGCTGCGTAACGTTAGTTGGTTATGTTGCTGCGTACGTTGTGTTGGGGCAATTTGCAACAATGCAGTGGTTACAAAAACAGTGAGTTGCCAGATTATTAGGTGCACCCAGCTGAGTAAAATTGTATGTGTACCTGTATGATGGTTAATGTTCAGTTTTTGTTGAAACTGTCTTTGTAATATTGTTTATAATATTATGTTCACCCCATTTGTAATCAGTGAGGGTAAGTTAGACCTAACATTACAAACATATCAAAACATATCAACATCATCAGAAACTTCAGCCTCCAAAATGACTAATAAAACAAAAACAACAAAAAACATTTTGATGTAACTGTTCAATTGTGCCATGTTCATGCACTTACAAAAAGGATATAGCTTAACTGGTGGCTTATTTTTAACTGGTGTGTTATCCAGTGTCATGTCTCAGCTTACATTGTCTTCTTGTTCTTTACCTCCCCAGATTCAGAGTGTGTGTCACCCACAGCAAACGACCATGGCGAATCAATCAATTGATATCATAACGAAGGTTTTGGAGCAGTCAGCCAAGCTGGTGGAGGAGAAGGTTGATGCACAGTTGAGCAAACTGAGTGAAATGGATGAAGATGATTTGGAAAGACTAAAGGAGAAAAGATTAGAGGCACTAAAGAAAGCCCAGAAACAGAAACAGGTATGTGGGATGTTTTCTTGTAACTGTTTATGTATCTCAAAGCTGGCTATGGGGACTGATAATAATAGTTGCATTTCTTGGAGGTGTTTTTTTATTATGTGAGAACCTGGTTTTGAATTATGTTACTTTATGTGAGTAGTCAGGGATTTCTGGAATATTGTGGAGCAGATTGTTGGATATCAAATCAGAAAAGATCACAGGTCTGTTTTTTTTTCCACAGAGCAATATATTTAGATTCTGGGTTTATGAGCTGTTTTATTTACAGAGCCCTTCTGATTCAGTATTTTTATCCTTTTAGGGAAAAAAGGTTATAGAAAACCTGTTTTGTAATGGAAATTTTAGGAAAAGTAATCCAAGGACCGATTTAAAGAATAAATCATGCTCTGGAGTTGGACTGTATGTCAGGCGTCAAAGTATTTATTAATTTTTTTCATGGGGAAAATGTTTTGACATTGTTCACATCCCAAATCAGCCAACAAAATAGACTGCATGTTCTATGTATGCTCGAATGTAAAAGCCAGTTTTTAAGCAAGTTTTCTGGAACTCAACCTAATTCTCTGTTTCTAAGGAGTGGTTGTCTAAAGGCCATGGAGAGTACAGAGAAGTACCAAGTGAGAAAGACTTTTTTGGCGAGGTCAAGGAAAGCAAAAATGTTGTCTGCCACTTCTACAAAAATTCCACAATAAGGTGAGTTTGTTTATTTATGTCATGAAGACCATTTTTTACTAATGCATCAAATCTACACTGTAGCCTATGCATAGCCTTGAACCCTTTGCCGTAGCCTCACGTGCCCCTTCTTTCCTCTACATATAGATGTAAGATCCTCGACAAACACTTGGCCATCTTGGCAAAGAAGCATGTTGAGACCAAATTCATCAAACTGAATGTGGAAAAAGCCCCATTTCTGACAGAGAGGCTGCGGATCAAGGTTATTCCTACGCTGGCCCTGCTATTAGACGGAAAAACAAAGGACTATGTGGTTGGATTCACCGACCTGGGAAACACAGACGAGTTCACTACAGAGATGCTTGAATGGCGTCTAGGCTGTGCAGAAGTTATTAACTACAGGTGAGACATACAGTAGCCTCCCTCCTTCACCTTTTAGGCTTCATAGCTGCACAATCACAGTAATGTTCTGATTGAAAACAAAATGTTATCTGATTTTAACACCGCACTTTCCCCTCTCCTGTTCTAGTGGTAACCTGATGGAGCCTCCTACAATGACACAGAGGTCAGGCACAAAGTTCACAAAGGTGGAGAAGAAAACCATCAGAGGGCAAGCTTACGACTCAGATTCTGATTCAGGAGATGACTGAAAAGTCAAGTCTTCTCATTTGGGGCTACCTCACTTAAAGTCTAGCAGACAGCCCACTTTCATTTTTCTACATCCCTTCTCTATTACTTACATATTCATTACCAGTTTGCATATTTTAATTTAAAAATCAAATTATTTTGCAAAGGCAGTTAGAATTATAGCATCAGCCTTATTTAATGAATTGTCTGCCATGTTTTGTGTTTGAATTTAAAATACTTCCAAGAACAAGGAAACATTACATTTGAAATTGTAGAGGATACAGTATGTGTCACTGAGCCAGTTGTTGATTTTGTCCCTTTTATTGGATAAAACCTTGAAGATTTGTCTTGAATTACAGGCGCACTCATTAAGGTAGTTCTGTTTATTTCTTGTTTCCTTGTAACTGTGTGTGTCTAATGTTAGACAGAAACCATGATGCATGAAGTGCCAAGATCATCCTTTTGCATCAGAATACATTTTTACATGACATTTCCTTATAGCAAGACATTGACTTAACTAATGCAGACTTAATAAAAAGTATACTTGTGCTCCTATGATTTTGTATAGTTTTTATGTAAAGTTGGAGGATCAACTGATGTTGCAAGTTTTAGTTGCTATTACGGGTGAAAACAATCCTTCAATTCCTATAATGCAACACAATATTTTTTTTTGTCAGATCCTTTCTCCTTAGAAAAGGCTCCTGTGTAAAATGTTGGTTTGAACATGCATCACATACATTCGGGATTGCTTAGTAATACATAAATAACAATATTAAAGGCCCTGCACACCCACACAGATCCAAATCAATACCAGACTGAAACTGATATTTGGCCGTTCACCTCCTTCTCCCACAGTGCAATGCATTTTATTTCAAAATTTCTTTATGGCCAACTGTTGCCGAATTATCACAGAGAACAGATTACATTTTTTCATTTGTCAGCAGACGGCTGTATTTATAAAATTGGCATTTATTGGTGGGTGGACAAAATAAACTAACTTGACAATTTTACTGAGTAAACCCAGAGCCCAGATGTTTTTTACAAAATGATTCAGATAAACTGGTACTACTGATATTTCTGCTTCATGAGCGGGCCCTTAGGTTGCAAAGTTTGATGACGACAATTCTCACATTCCTCTGGAGTCTTAAGTCTATTAAGTAAAACACACTGCGTCAGGCTAAAGTGAAGCCTGGTAAATGCCACAGCAGTTTCTCAGTGTAGTGGAATCAGAACAGGAAGCTAAGGAGCACTGCATTTCCCATAATATTTATGAACAATTATGAATTAATATAACAAAGATTATACTAAGATTCGATAGCCTTCGGGTCTACAGGTTGGAGGAGGTGACGAACAATCAACTCTCCTTTGCTGTTAATGTAGGTGTCAGCCATGTCCTGTTCAGCAGGAAGTCCGTAGGGAGTCCTCAGCGGCTGGATCCTGAATGTACCAGGAAAGAGCAGGAACTTAAGACATTTCATGTTCTAAAAAACATAAATCCTCTTTTGTGACTCAGGTTGCAAATCTACCTCCGTTCTGCTTTAATGATTTGCAGAGACTTGGACGACCATAATTTATGCAGACATGCTAACCCCATTTTGTAAATTAATCTTACCTCACAAGGTGCTTGACAAATTTCAGTTGGCTATTGACTGCAGGTGTATTTTTGTGAATTACAGGTACATGTGCCTAAAAACAAGAGAAAGAGAGGACAGAGTCAGTGCATAAAAATCCAAGACTGAGCAAGTCCAATTTTTGTCTCTAGAAAATGCAATAAAAAAACAAACATTCTTTGTGCCTCTATAGTGGACAGATGCTATATCTGCTTGAGGGGGTACAATAACAGCTAACAATTGTATAATGCTCATCTATCATAATGAAAGCTTTTTCTTCAGCCTTCAAGGCAGGGTTAAGGAACACTGTAAAATACTTATTACAGGTGCTAATGTATGTTTATGTTCTAGTCATGAAACTGAACATGAACTATTTATGCATAGGTAGTCCTCTAATCTCAGTGCTGTACACTTTCCAAACCTCTTTATGTTCTCCAAAACATTTTCTTTATTTTTTCCTCTCTCACCACCTTAACTGTTTTCAGTTAACAGTATTACACAAAGGCAGCCTCATTTGTTAAGCCTTACCTTGTCAAGCCCAAGGTGTTTCACCATCTCTTTCTCCCAGTACGGCCTTCGCATCACACTTTTGACTCGTGTCACTATATGCAGTTTATGTGGTTGGTCTGGGTCACCCCCATATTTCTCATGTTCTTTTGATCTCTCAGCAAAAAGCTGTGAAGGACAAAAACAGAGCCTTTTTAACAGTGCCAACAGTAATGTAATTAATCATTTAGAAGTGCAGAACAAAGGAGCCTCATTATTACCATGGCTGAATTCATCTGTTAGGAGGCCCTGTGGTAAAGATTAAATGTTGGGCACCTGATGACCCCCCCCCCACACACACACACACACACACCTCCTGTCCTCTGTGCACTGTTAATAGACACTGCTGGAATCCTACCCTACCTAATTGAGAATATGAACTATGTGAGCACAAAAATTACTAAGGTATCAAAATTAGATAAGGCCCCTCTACAAGACAGGGTCTAAAGTTTATATAAAAAAGGACCCAAGTTCATTGACATAGCACTTCAGTAATGCAGATAAGCAACTTTGCAATTTATGAAATTACGTGCAACTAACTGACCTATATAAAAACTGGGGCTTTTGCCTGGACTCTTACCTCTTTTGGGATTCTTGCTTTGGTAAATTTGCTGCGTGCAGACACAAACCACGAGCAAGGTGATAAAAGTGTAGCTTCTGTCAGGATCTGTAGACATACACAAACAGTGACCAGACAAAGTTAAAATCAATGCATGTTAATTATAGAAAGGGTTAAAAGGCAGAACAGTGTCCTGCAGGGATGGCTCATCTCAGATTTCATCATAATGTTTAAACTGTGGTGGCTATCACTTTAATTTCCCTTTATTCCACCATTGTGGGAAATGTCTTAAGTCTTAATTAATTTCCCTGGGCAGCTTTTGTTTTAATTTAGGGCATGGTTTTGCAACAAAGTGATATAAAGTAGTTTAATTTAGCCAGGTACATTTAGCTGGTTTATCACAAAAAACACATTCCGTTCAGGTTATTATCTTTTTCAGCATACAGAAGACTAGTGTCCTCTATTACCAATTTAATGACGTTAGAGAATGGCACTACTTATCACTGATTCATTGTTGTGCAAGTCAGATTCCTAGTCGGGTTTGAACTTTCATCATAGCAGAAATTTAACAAGTAGTCAAAACTATCAAAGAGTGGTTACATAAACCTTTGCCAGAGACAGGCCGTTCACACCACCAGGTGTTTGTGATTAATGTTTAAAATAAATTATAATGTCTAATAATTAACAAGGGAAGTGTTATGAAGTCTGGTTTTATTTCTTAATGCACGTTTTGTTTTGTCAGAATGAAACATGAAAAATGCTGAAAGATATTCTTACCTTGACTGATAAAGAGCTCAAACCGCGACAAACACCTGACATGATTTTTGTTCGGTTGGGTTTCCAGCAGCTCCTCTTCAGTTATAAAAAAAACTAGTCACGCACGCCAAGGTTACAGCCCTGCCACCCGCAAAATAAGCGCGTGGATCAAACGAAACTAACCGTTATGAAAAAAACTCACAAATGTAAATATACTCATATCAAACTGACAAAATACACGTACAACATTAATTCAAGAGCTGAAAAACAACAGCAAACGGGCTGTCACGTTAGTATCATGACAGTTTTGTCTCCTCCATGTATGCTTCCACCGGAAGGGTTGAGAAGTTACATTGAAACTGCGCCGACATGACAAACGTCCATTAAACAAGGTTCCTATAGTGAACTTTAACTTTTAAAAAATCCAACGTAAGAATACACTATTTAAATGTAATAAAGTTTCAGTAGAATATAGGTGCTTTAGGGGTTATTTTTCTTAAAATTGTACCCATATGCGCACCGTGGACCATTATTCCATCACTAAGTTTTTCCCGGAAGTATTTTTGTGGCGCACTTGTGTAGCTTCTTTCTGTGACTTTCCTGACAGCAGATAAGCATGAATACTCTGTTGGTTTTCTAGAAGCTCTAAAAAGACGAAGGCTAGACACCACAATGACACAGAACCACGTGTCAGGGATGGAGACGTCCGCCATCTCCGTCCTGAAGCGGGCAGTGGAGCTGGACCACAGCGGCCGTCTGCAGGAGTCCCTTGTCTGCTACCAGGAGGGCATCCAGCTGCTTATAGACGTGTTGAAAGGTCTCCATCTCCCTCTTTCAGACATATACACAGCAGAGGGAGCACGATGTAGACTAAACAAATTCTTGTTTCCTGTCTCCTGCCAGCAGCTGTGAAAGATGACTCAAAGAGAGGGCACTACAGGGATAAGATAAAGGGCTACATGGACAGAGCAGAGCAAATCAAAGCTCATGTGAGCCAGATGAAAGAAGGTAACTATAACACAACCACTAAAGGCTGATTAACAAACCAAGTAAAGTGGGCAACGGCCCCAGCCAAGACGGATTAACCTGCTGTGGAGGAAGAGTTGTAGTAATTTGGTTTAACAGACATTTATTTACATTTGACACCGGGCCCATGTGCAAGCAAGTAATAATGTAGGATTTGCGTGTAATAATGTAGGATCTGCCTCAAGATCCCACAAACCAGCTGATGATGTGCTGTAAGTGTGCTTATCCCCCCCAAAAATCTAATTAACCATATTGGCCCACAAACTAATTGACTCTCACAGCACAGTTAAAATCCAAAAAATGGTAAGGGCATTTTATCCAACCTTTACTATTTCAGTTGATGTTATGCAAGTTACATGGTGCATATCTTTAAACAAATTTGTGTTAAATCAAATTATTACAAATGAAGTGGCATATAGTAAACCTGGAGCAGCAACGGAGTCCAGGGTAGAAATGCTGAGGGTTAATGTTATTGTCACAAGCTGCTGTCTGTGCCACCTGTAACTTCTGTTTCTTCTCTCATTCTGTGTTCACCTTTCCTGTCAGATGGGAAATACCATGAGCAGATTAAAATAGTGGAGGATGCTACTGGTTACAGCTACGAGGCTCTGTTCAAGCCATACATCAGCAGTTTACTCACAGAGGTCTGGGTAGAAGACCCATACATACGGCACACCCATCAAGTAAGTCTTTTAATCAGTGTTTTATTGTGTACGTTTTTTTCCCTGTTTATTTAAATTGGATTGGATATTTTATCATTTTTAGTTACTTCATTAATACACAGCTGGATTAACAACTTGGCAAAGCAGGAATCTGCCCCAAAAGCCCCAGTTTCACTGTGGGGCAACTGATAATGTGATTAATTGTAATTTGTTTGGGTAAATGGGAATATGCACTACTAAAGTACAATATCAACTGTCATGACAAGGTGGGTCGTGCTTTATTTCCATATCCTGAGGTCTTAGTGGTGTCTGATATATTATTATGACCATCATTATTTGAGCTGATATGCTGCTTGAATATTTAATTTATGTTTAATCAGGTTACAAAAGGGATGTCTTCAAACTGATATCTTTGTCTGACAACATTTAAAATGCCAAAAGTATCAAATGAAATCCTTGAATTGCATTCCTCATATTTGAATAGCTGGAACCAGCAAGCATTTGGTGTTTGTAATGATTAATCGATCATCAGAATTTTGACATTAATCATTAATAATCTGTGGCATGAATAATGCCTAATTATAATGTGTTAATAATAAAACAGTTGTTTTAATTAATTACAAGATATTTATAGCTTTTTAGGAGTTTATTTTAAAGTAAACTTGGAGGGAAAGTTGGTTATCCTGCATTCCACAACACACTAAACACAATTGCCTTAATTTTTTATTTTATTTTTATTTTTACAATCCACAAAGCACTCTTTACCTTTTCTGTTGATGTTTATAGCTTAGCACAAAAGTTAACATAAAACTGTACAGAACTCACTCTAACATGCCAAACAATCCCCTTCCCCCCTTCTCTCCACTACAGTTGTACAACTTCCTGCGGTTCTGTGAGATGCTGCTAAAAGCGTCCTGCAAGGTGAAAACCATCCATCTCCTCACTACACAGGATGAAGTAGGTTATTTAACTAATGTGACTACACACAGTAGTGAATGCACAGCAGCCATAGCAGTGTCTTCTGTTCAGTTTGTGCTGTTGTTTCACCGCCACTTGTCCTGTCACACAGTCGGATAATCGCCAACAGAGCAGCGCTTTGGCCGAGCTGAAGGAGAGTCTCAGTGCTCAGGGAGTGACTCTGGATCTGCAGTTCTCCTCCACTATACATGACAGGGAGATCAGGTACAGCTGCAAGTCACGCATTAAAGATATCAGAACAGTATACTGTACAACCTAAAAAAATGGCGGTATCTTTTTTTAAGTACTTCTTGCTGCAGTACAAAGTATTTACTTTCACATTAGCACTCCGATTTTTGATGTGATTGCGGCTTTGTTTTATGTCAATAATCCAAAATAAATAGTGTTTTTAGGTTTGACAATGGATGGATCATCAAGATCGGAAGAGGGCTGGATTACTTCAAGAGACCTAAGGTGCGACTTCATACTAATTAATATTCATAACTTTCTATTTCTGCAAGCATCAGAAAGACTGGACATCTGAGTCAACACGTTGAGTAAGAGGAGTTTCGTTTTATCTTCCAGGGACGATTCTCTATTGGATACTGTGACTATGACCTCAGGCAGTGCCAGGAGACCAACGTAGACATTTTTCACACTAAACACACAAAAACACTATGATATTCATGAAGCTTAAATTCCTTACATTCCTAATTCAGGTGACTTCATATACTTACCTGCCCTCAAAACTCACTGCTGTGGTGTTGGATTTGCCTTAACATGTGCTCTGCCTTATAACAGTGGTGTAACTGAGCATTTTTATCAGAGGTATTACAGTATGCTTTTTGTCACACTGATAATGTCTTTAAACCAACTGTATGATTCTGTGCTATATATTCTATATCATCGGGTTTTGGACATTCTTAAGTCTTGTGTGCAGTTTATGCAAAAAAAAGTGTTTTTCATCTTCCTTTTCTTTCTTTTTTTATTACCTTTTTTTTTTTTTACTTTTCTTCTACAAATTGGTGGTTTATGATTGTTAAGAGGGAAGAGGCTTTATATAGTACAGTATCACATTTGGTGGAAGATGGAAATTAAACATTTTAAAATTATATTAAAAGTGGTTTTATAATATTATCAGACGTCTCTGTGTTTTCTAATTCGGTTTTAACCATGTTTCAAGCTTATCCAGCTACTCAATATTCAGTGTCTCACATTTAAAATATACAATTCAAAATAAATTCATACATGTAATTAGTTTAATAACCATAAGCCTGTCTGAATTTGCTGTCTTGGTATGCAAAGGTACCATACAGACTGCAGCTGATTATTAAGTTAAAATAGCTTATTTAGTTTGTGGTATACTATATTATATATACTATCCATAGTATACCACATATATTTCAAGACAAGCTCAACTCTAATCCCATTCACTCGCCGAGCTTTTGATCACATCATATGGTCTTCATCTGCAGATCGAGTTGGCTCATGGAACAGAGGATGTTCACACTATTCTGAGCCCTATTGGACTTCTCGTCAATGTTGGTTTTATAAGCTTCACTAATTTCCAAGGTCAAAAATGAACTTTATCTTTTAGTTTATTCCATGCAGTTTGCAGATTTGAATATCAGCTTGAAATGTTCACAGTCTGATTTTTACGCCAACTCCACAAAACATTTATGCAGCAGCAGCTTTATCAGGTAGGCCTAATATAAAAAGATGTTTTTTCTCTCCTTCGCACAGATTAGTCTCTGTTGCTGCTGGCTCTAGGCACACTGTTAAGGGTTACAAAATTGGCAATCTAGCAGTTTGAAAGGTGTAGTTTATATTTACAAATAACATAAATTGATTCCTGTCAATGGTAAACACTGAAATCTAAATGATTATATCTACAATATAATATGTGTAATGTTATGTGAACCCAAAACTTTATATTTGACTGTATGACAAAAGTCAGCCTGTGGTAGCAGCGATCTGGTGTATGTCACTTGTTAATATATTGGTCAATATGTCAAATGTGCTGGAATGATGATTGAATAACAAATTATTTTCCCTATTAAAAAAAAAACAATCATGGGAATAATATCTCCCTTGTTAAATTTTCATGGGAAACTGTTTGTTTAAATGAATGGTAACCTGCATGAGCTCAAACAGTGCCGTGATCGGATTATCTATCGGCCTTAATCTCGATATGCACAGTCCTCATCTGGGCTCTGAGAGGAAGAATTTATAATCCATCAGGGAACCACATGAACCAGAGATGACCGTATCTGTAGCAAACGTCCGTACCTTTGTTTTCTAATGAGCAGAGAGGACAAAGGCTGCAGCACAAGAAGCAGTGAGTGCTGTAACCATGCAGTACATTTCAATACATACAAACAGTTTTTATATAGGACAACAACCAGCTGTAATTCTTATGTGCAGATAACAGACAATGAATCCATGATTGGGGAACTTAAATAAAACCACATCCCAGACTCTTATGTCACAGACTCTATGTCTATTAACATGCGGCATGTGGTTGGTTGCATGTAATCCAGATGTCACCGGCTGGGTTTATATTCTGGTGGAAGAGATAAGGATTTGTGTGATGAGGAGCCTCATCAGAGGAGCTGTTCAGCCACACACCCAAACACGCAAACGTTTGCTTCCCACTTCCTTCTGCCCTCCCTCTCGTTGATTGTAGCACAGTGGCCTAGATAGTGCTCCCATCTGTGAATACTATCCTAACATGTGTGTGGGAAATATCTTTGTCTCTTTTACCAGTGTTACTGAAAGAGTTTAAGATTATTTTGTGGTTTTCTTAGGCCATTTGTGGAGATATAGAGGATTGTTAGCTGGAATCAAACCAGGGACGTTGCAGTTATATGGTAAACACGTCAACCATTAAGCCAAAAGGACGCCCTACTGGGAGGGTATTTGATGAAAATGAACAATCATGTGCCCATTTTGTGCATGCTAAAGTATTTGACTAGTGATGTGTGTACATGCAAATATAAATGAATGTATTTATAAATGATTACTGTAGAATGCTATAAAATAGTATTTTAGCTCCAATGTCCTGTACATTTGGATGTGAACTCTGGATTTCAGTAGGGCTGGGAAATGGCTAATTCATGATTGGTAATTTTATTTTATTTTTTTGTTTACTTTCTAAGACATAGATTCACACACACACAAATGTTTTTTCCTAAACCCCAGTGGGGACATCTCATTTACATAATGCATTCCCTAGCACCTGCTCCTAATCTTACCAACATGTCACTACATGACTAACCCTAACACAACTGTAACCTGAACCCTAGTCCTACAATCAAAAAGCAGTCTCTACTTGGGGACCGCAATTTTTGTCCTCACAATCCCTATCAGTTAGTTAGTGTGCAGTTAGTTTACAGTCCCCACTGGGATATAAATACAAGAAACAGACAGACACACACACACACAGCCTCCCCTATGTGATCGTCCGGGGGGTAAGCAACCCGGTTTAATGAGTAAACAGTTCTATGAGCCGTAATTCCTGTATGCCTGTCCTCTTTCCAACTGGAGCTTTATTTTTTCCCTCTACTCTCATTTCTGGGCCTAAAATCAGGTTAGCGTTTCATAAGAAGCTTAGCGCAGAGGGCCACAGTGTGCCACTAATGTAATAGAGTATACCTCTCTCTCTCCCACTCTCTCTCTTTCTCATTCTCTTCTGTCCTCGTTTCTCTTTGTGAATTTGCTTACCCTGTCATGGAGTGTCCTTCTCTCTCTCCTTCTCCCAGCCTGTTTTTCTCTCTCCTTCCACTTGCCTCGCCCCCTTCCCTCTCTCCCTGAATCTCCCTCCATCTGCAGATGTGGACGACGAAAGCCTGAGGTTTAAACATTGGGACAGTGACACAGCTGAGACAAGACCATTTGGAGGGGAGAGGAGGACAAAGAGGCGGAAGAGAAGCAGAAGTGCTGCTATTAGACGTTGGGTGAGTTCACTCATTTTTGCACTTACCGGCGGGTGAAGGTGTGTGTGTTTGAGTACTTTCCCTGTGAATATCAGGTGAATTTTGTGCTGCAGAACGTGGCATGGGAAGTTTGTGATTAAGATGTTGTTGTGGATTATGGTGCTATGAAATGTTACATGGATCTCTCTGCAATGTCAATAATCCACAGGATTATCCTGTTTCTGTTGGGGCTATAGCTTGGCTCACTGGATGACAAAACTCTGAGGTATACGGCCTGATTCATGAGCACTTTAGTTTCATTCAGGGCTGCGGTGATATATCAACAAGTTGAAATTTATGTGTAGGGCAAGATGTTCGAATGTTTCAGTCAAATATGACATAACATCCAACTTTTTCTTGAGTGTCATATTCATACTCGTATATAATTTCAATAGGCTGTGCTTGTTTTCTGAGAGCAGGCTGAGCGATATGAGAGGTGCAGTGTGGACTTTGCATGTTTATCCAGAACCTGACACATCTTGTCTTATCAGGCACCCATAGTGCACAGTATCATCAGTTCCTAGGCTACACAGGGAGAACTGTCTGACTCCCACAAAATGGTGTATGCATATCTCAAACAGAAGAACTGCTCCAGGGCAGGGTACAAAATACAGTCTGTGAAACAAAGGAAACAAGCACTCTGCTCTGAATCTTGCATCCAGTAACACGTCAACCCAATCCGCATGCTTTTCAGTCAAGTGTTGCATAAGTAAAGCTGCCTGAGAGCAAGATTTTAGCTTTTTCTTTGTTCACAAAATATGATATCCAAGCTGCACTGCTTTGTGATGGCGTGATATTCTCCCACTAGTGCAATGTCATATCATAAACCCTACTCCCTCCTCTGTAACCTACATGATGTGTTTTTTCTTCATGACACTGCATATAATGTGTTGTCTTCTGTACACAGTCCTCTTGTAAAAGCTTCAGATTTTGTGCCCCACCTAGCTACAGTAAATGTTTGTACCGTTCCAGATAACACAAATGAACCTTTGAACCTCAATTCCAGTGTCACATCTTCAGGAGAACTGAGAGCATACCACTGGAGTATTTGCACCACGTTAAAAGACCTCTGGCATGTGACAGCAGCTGTATGCCTGAGGTTTCTCTTATCTGTCACAGTTGCTTCTTACACACTTTGCTGTTGTCTGTTCTCACTTCTTTCAGGGATTGGACCAATGGAGTCTTTCTCTGGAGATACAGGAGAAAGCACTGAGGACATTCCAGGTGAGGTTATCTGTCATGTAGTTTTACACAAGAGCGTTATGGTGATGTGAAAGCAAGTCATTGACAAAAATAAGTTATCAAAATAAAGGATGTATGTCAGCGTAACATTGAAACATGTGACCAGCACACACCATGGACAATTTATTGTCAATGACAGATCATAATCTATAACAGGAGTTGCCACGCGTTTGATGCAACAATTAGAAAAATCATCAGAGAATATATAGGGTGTAGAGTGGTAACTATGTGAGTTCTGCGCGTGTGTGTGTGTGTGTGAGCTGCAGTGACCTGGATCCATCTCAATCTCTGTTAGGACGTAAAAAGTCCAAGCTCAAGTCTCTGAAAACTCGTCTCTTCGGGAGGAGTAAGAGAGCAGGCGTAGAGAGAAGTGCCAAACTCAGCCAGTCTGAAAGTGACATTACGGCAGGAAAGGGACTCGGATCAGAGGAAGATTTGGCGTGAGTGTTTACCTGATAGTAAATACTGTAGATTTTTGGTTTACAGCTCTATTTCGGTTCTGATTTCTAGTCTATGTCTTCACCCCTCTTGTGTTTTTCCTTTCCTGCTACCACAGATGCTCTGAGGGGATGATGGGATCACGGGCATTGTCCCATGACAGCATCTTTCTGGCTGATGAGATCCTGACAGAAGCTGAACCAGTCAGGGTCTTATCTCAGGAAAATGTTCATAGCAAGGTCAAATTTCTGCAGGTATAGCCTTGTATTCTTGGCATGTTGTTGGGAACTAGGTCATTAACG